CACCTGTCTAATATAGTTAATGTCGCAATCATTCTCTGCACATTTATATAGAGATAGTCTGGTTTTCCAACTTTAGAACACGCACCATATAATTGTGTCTTTATATTAGTGGTCGTTTAAATGGTGCTATTAGCACGGTAACAAAAGTGGTTATTTGGTTATCACATGCTAAAGCTGTTTGTATTTTTATAGGAGACGGAAGTAAAGCTACCACTGTACTTGTAAATAAATTAAGTGGTAAAAAATAGAAAAGCGGAGGTAGCGTTAGTAAAATATAAACAATTTAGGTAATGAGAACTTGAAAATCATGTGTAAAGCTCTTTGAGTTCTCTTAAATTTAAGTCATTACCCCCCTCCCCTCCCCTCTTCCACCGACTACTGCTCTCTCCCTCTTCGAAATATTTGAAAATCATTACCTGGCGATATTTTGATGTTGCTGTAACTGACATTGACATCCCTGTCCATCTGGACTAAAATCGGGAGCAGGAATTGTAATAGGTAGTGAATGGGGCTAGTGTAATATTTACCACATCATCCTTCAAGTACCAGTACAACTACTAAAATAATGTCACTGCTATCTGTGTTACCATCGGAGTAGACAGAGAGTCGTGAGCCAGAAGATGTAGTTCCACATGGCTAGTGCTGTCGCCACAGACTGGTCAGGTTAGGATGTATAATTTCACTTGCCGACAGAATAACGCCATAACCTTAACGGCGGTCTTCACATGAGAGCACTATGGTGTAACAGCCCAACCACAACTATTACTGCTGCTGCTACTTTAAGTGGGTAAAGCAGTTACTGTGACTTAAAGCTCTCTCAGTAAATAGTTTGCCCCCCCCCCCCCCCCCCCCCCCCCAAATTCACCGACAACTCTTTCCCTCATTGAAGTAGTTGGGAGGAAAAAAAAAACACTTGAAAAGCAAATGAACACAGGAAAAAAACACCATAATTAGGAAATGAACGCCATGGTAAACAGCACAGCTTAAAATTACAACGCAGACGAAATAACTAAATCTAAATGAAAAGAAATGAAAATCTATAAAATTTTAGCGTAACCATGCAATCGGAAAGTTTAAAAATGCAATCATAAGTATGCGAAATGGTCAAATTTAATTATCAAATATTTTACCCATTTACTTGTTTTTTTTAAATTAATTTTTTTAATTAAATATTAAGGCAACATGGCTAGTGCTGTCACCACGACAGAGCAGATAAGGATATAATTTAGTCCGGGGTAAAAAAAAAAAAATAAACTACTGGGATTCGAACCCAGGTCTCCCGCTCAGGAACCCAGTGTCCTAACCATTCGACCTAGCAGCCACATAATCGAATAAACGAAAAGAGAACTTAACTATTAGAGATGTGTGTCCCTCCCTACTAATGTGTCCTGATCAAAACACAATTCAAAACCGCAGGCAATTGTTTTCTTGTAGACAGATACTCTAGATATATTAATGAAACAGCACAACAATAGAAATCGCACGTGTCTAACACAGTTAATGAAGTTAATGACGCAGTCACTGTCTGTGCCGACGTCGAGATAGTCCTTGATCCCCCCCCCCCCCCCCCCCCCCCCCCATCGAAGGTTGTTTGGAAAAAAAACAGAAAATAGAAATCGTGTTTAATATGGTTAATGTGGCAAATATAGAGATAGTCTTGTTTAATGTACCACGTCCTACTCTATGTATTAGAGAAGGCGTTGGCTGCACGTAACTCGCCGGCGAATGGCCGAAGCCTTGCGTTCTGACTACGGCGGCGCATGCGCAATTACTAACGTGGCTGTAATCAGAAATCACTAAAGTTATAAATATTAGTTGCGTATATTTTTGCATAAATTGTGGTCACCTATCTCTAACAGTGACAGGTTGAATTTCAAACCACGACAGTTCAAAATCCGGTATCACAACAAACATATCCTGAAAATTTCAGCTAAATCGGTTCAGTAGTTTCCGAGTCTATAGGGGTGAAACAAACACACAAACATTGATTTTAATATATATAGATTATAAGCTGGGAAATAAGGCTGATAGTACTAAACTGAAATCATTATTATAAATACCGAACCACTTCAGTCCATGTTAGTGTTGGGAAAAACATTTCTGTGAAATGTATAATTCATTTTTAAAAAGTGAGCTATATGACAATAAAACTCACTTGGAAATAGGGCTCTCCTGTCAACTTAGGCCGTTAGCTGGATTGCCGGCGATCGCTTAGTGGGAGTTTTCTCCATTGGCTGGGTTGCAAACACGGCGCGGAAAAGTCACGAATCAAATTACATACTTACCTATCATCCATATGGTTGCGTGTACGGTTGCATAGTCATCACACGGTTACTGTTACCTATCATCATACAGTTGGTGTGCGGTTGCGTAGTCATTATACAGTCATCATAGGCTTTGGGGTAGGGTTAGATGTGACAATTTTGACGTAGGAGTTCCAAATACTGGCCGACAATCTGATGCTTGTGGGAGTGGCGCCACTGGAATTCTCCTAAATATGACGGCAATACCGCGCGGCTGGTGCCCCATCGGTGGCGAATTGTCCGTTTGAGTAGCATCCACAGCCTGTCGATTGTTTGGGTGTGTATGTGACTGCGCGATTATTTGGAACTCCTGCGTCAAAATTGTCACATCTAACCCTACCGCTACCCCTAGCCACGCAAATTTAAAAAAAAAAAAGATTTCCCCGAATCGTCAAATAAACAGCCAGATCTGGGGGAAACACCCAAGCATTGGCAGACCTGTTGTCGACCTCACTGCCTTTTTTGATTCGTGACTTTTCCACTCCGTGTTCGCAATGCAGCCAAGGGAGAGAACTCACACTAATTGATTGGCGACTTTCCAGCTAACAGCCTAAGTTGACAGGAAAGCTGGAAATAGACATCATTCGGCAGATTGTCACATCAGTCATTCTGACATTTAATTGACATTAATTGTATGTTGAATGATGTTGGCTTGGCTCAATTAGTCTGCATACGTTTCTGAACTTTTCAACCACACTTATACTAGATACTACTTATATAACCAAACTCTAGTTACATGTATGTCAGTTCAGTTTGGTAAGAATGACAGATCTTCATTACACATTTTGATTGTTAGTGTTACATTGAAGCACTATATTGATTGATTCATTCATTCATTCAGTAGCATGTCCCTCGCGGAACCTCGCTGCCATAAAAACCCTCCGGAAAACCTTCCTATCCTGAGCAAGATGTCCTGCGTCTGATACACCCATCTGGAGATCATCTGCCACATCCTGCACCCATCTTCTCCTTGGCCTTCCTCTTCCTCTCTTCCCAGGCATATACCCCTCCATTATTGTTCTCTCTAGACTTCCATGACGTTTCAAGTGACCAAAATATTGATTGTTACAACTATATATTAGATTGTTGCCATTATAAATGTATTGCTTGAGAAATCAGTGAGACATCCTGTCCTATTCATAACATAGCATTTTCGTTATTTATTGATACCCCAAGTGAAAGATGTCAGTTCATAGTACTAATAGTATACTACTTATAAAAAACAAGCACTTTGATGAGTTAATTTATTGGAAATCAGCTAGTAAGTTCCTTCTTCTGCTTTTGCTCTTAAAAGTTTAATCTACCTGTGCTTTTACTTTTTATAAAAACATATTCAAATAATAATACCTGATTTGTTTTCAATATACAGAGAGTATATAATGAGATCTTTAATTGATATGCCCGGAATTGTGGTTGGTGGGCACAGTATAAACAATTTACGTTATGCTGATGACACAGTCTTGAGAGAATGGGCCTCAGTTTAAATAATGGGAAGACAGAAGTAATGGTGGTATCAAAGAAACGAATTATTCCTAAATGTGTAATAAAAGTCAATGGTGTTTTTTTGGGACACATACAAAGATTTAAGTATTTGGGCACACGGATAACATCAGATGGAAGATGCATAACTGAGATCAGAAACAGAATAGGACAGGCAAAAACTGCATTTTATAAAATGAAGAATATCTTGTCATTTAGTTTAGAGTTAGAAAAAGAATTCTTGCTTGCTACATACATCCAGTTGAAACATATGGCTGTGAATCCTGGACAGTCGGTAGGCAGGCCACACAATTTCTTGAGGCCTCAAATATGTGGTTTTACAGAAGAAGGCTTAGAATACATTGGACAGCCAAAAAGAGCAACCAGGAGGTTTTGAAAGAGGCGGGAGCCCGAAGACAACTTATCACAGACATCAGGAGACAGTCATCATTTTTTGGCCATGTTATGAGAAGAGGGAAAATAGAACATGTTGTGACCACTGGAAAGATCTATGGAAGGAGGGATAGAGGAAGTCAACAAGAGAAGATTCTTGACAGTCTTGTTGTATGGCATGGAGGTGTGTCGGCACACGAACTGATACATGCTGCAGGAGATCGTGGGTTATGGAGAGGCATGACCGCCCACTCCAGTCGGCAAGGCACCTGATAATGATGATTCATATATTGCGGACACAATCAGTACATTTCACAATTTATCGCATGGCATATTTTGCTATATACTGAAAACTTGAATCAACATAAAATGAAGAGTACAATGGAATCTTTTTTTTTTTTAACTGAAATACAAAATCACATTTTCAAATTAGATTACATCTGCTCACCAGAAATTCAAGATGAGCCACATGTTTACCACGGTAACTTTAAATTTATTGTGCAATTTTTTTTTTCAACTTACTGAAGCAGCTTCAGCCAGTTTTTAGCAACTGTATATTCAGTGTGGTAAATAATTCAGATGGCACAATCCTTATCAACTGTATTCCTAGAGTTAAGCAAGTGATGTCCTATCAACGAGTTGGGTTTTCTTCTTGGTTGATTTTGATATAGGACCTCTACTCAGTTGTGTGGAGCCATTTAGGGAAATATTCTGCCACTGTTTTCAAACTGGCTCTCTGTATATACTGTATGATGCTTTATTTACTTATAACAGGCAATATTTTATTTTCAGCTGGTACATATTTCTTGCATTCACCAAGAAAACATGCCACTTTCTCACAGCCAGAATTTTGAAGGCTTTGTATATGGAGGCTTTGGGTGTTCAAGCATTCAAAGTCTGTGCCAGAAGCGTAAGATGGACATACATGAGGGAAGACCATTGGAAGACAGGGATAACAGGGACATGAAGGTATAATATTTTCTTGCTTTTTCTGTTTTCGTCATTTAACCTTACTCATTCAGAACCAGTGAGCTATCTATCATCATCATGTAGTAGGTCCTTTGAAGGACGTCGCTCTGATCATATTTGCCTGAGAGAAAGTCTCTAGCCAGCTTTCCAGCCTCATGTACTTTCATATTCAAGGAGTCATATCTTGTGCCCATCTTCGTGTTGGTCGGCCCCTGCCCCTCCTTCCTAGTACCATGCCTTCTGCTATTATTTTGTTTTTCAGTCTGCTGTGGCGCTTGATATGACCAAAATATTTCAGCTGCCGAGACAAGATGCTGTTTATTAGCCAGTCTTCCTTGTTCAGATCTTTTAAAATCCATCGTTCTCTTCCTCAGTTCGTGTTTGTGATCTGCCTGGCCTGGGGACCTCGCCATCTGATCATTAAGTTTTGTTTGTTTTTTGGCTTACATGATGAGTTTCTTGGGTAATAATGTGGTAGTTTTCCCTTGATTTCCACATCCACATGACTTTAGACTACGTCCTCAACCTTCGTCAACCTTTCAGATTTCCAGGGGAAGTGAGTGATATTCCTCTTCATAATTTTGATGATTGTGTACATAACCAAAGCTCCTTTGTTCCTTTATTCTCTGGTCGTAATCTATCCTTTTCAAGTTGTTAGAACCGCTTTTTTGAGTGTGTGCTTTTAATTCTTTTAGTACACATGGTAAATGTTCAAGGCAAAAAAACAAAACTGACAGGCTAAAAAAGTTAAAAGAATCATTGGCAGATTTGGTTGTGGTTTACAGCTAGGCTTCAGTATTTGCGTCTTTCGGCCCAGCAATCCGATTGCAGCAAACCCTTAATTAGTCTCTTTTAATGAGCTACTTGTTAAGTGGGTCAACTGTAAAAAAAAGTAAGTAAAGGACCCTTTTCCGCGCCTTTATGCATATAGGGCTAGACCTATATTTTTATAGACCATAGGCACAAGATGGGTGATGTGGTCAGCATCACGCCGGCCGCTTCTGCTTCCCTGGACTGCCCCCGGTACCCATTCAAGGGGTTAACTGTACTTCCCAAAAATGGGCCCCTGACCCCAATGTTAAAAGATATTTACAGTAGAACCTCTATAAAGCACTCTCACATCGCTGCTGCTACTCCTAGAATGGGTCCTTTGCATATATATTTAAGTCACTTCTTATTGAAAACTTGAAGTTGAAATGATAATTGGTTTCTCTGTCCACAGACTGATCACCATGGAAACAGCCCCAAGCGTCAGTGCCAGAGGGTGTCGTCTGAATGTCAGTCTTTTGAATGTCATCAGGTAATTGGCTCTGCTTAATTGCATTACAGTTATAAACTTTATTTTATTTTTTTGGTCAGTGTCTGGGGCTTAAGTGTTGTGAACTTGCTTCATAATTCCAGGGGAAGTTCGATTCAAGCTGCAGATGATTTGTCAGCAGGCTACCTTGTGTTGGTATGCTTCAAACTTGTGGAAAGTTCTAGTTTTTCAGCCACTTCTGGACTTGAGTCTTGTTCCGGAAGATTTTTTGTGTGTATACATATGGCCATTGAGTTAACCGTATGTGTCGATTCCTCCCCCACCAAATGTATGGTTAACACATTCCGTTTCTGGGGACAGCTTTTATCGAGTTTGCTCAGTTGCAGTCCCCTGCTGACAAGTTTATGTTTTTCCGAGTGGACCGCCGCGATCAAAACATTACGAAGGTAGCGTGGTCGAGGCTGCCAAAACTATGAGTCATTATCCCGCCCTGACATAGCACAACCACAATACACGCTGCTCCCACGAAAAACACATAGTATCCAGCGTTGGAAATGCGCACAAAATAGCGGTTTATGTTTATGAAACAGAATAATCCGAGAGAATTGACAGCCAGCTAAATTAAACACAGCTGCTATCCGCCATTTTGAAAACGGAAGTCCAGGTGCACATCTGATTTACAGACGGCTTATTTATATGTAGACTGTTGGTTTCTCGCCCATAAGGCAGATACATTCCGACTTCGAAGAAAACATCCCCAATTAGACTTTTACGAGATGCTTGTTAAGGAAGGACAATAGGTGTGCCCCCCTCCAGTTCCTTTCAATGCTTTATTTTCTTGTTTGTTTAGCAGGTCTTCCCCTTCATAACTGGGCCTAGAACCTACACGGGGAAGTCGCCTTACTTTCATAAAATGCTTGTTGAGCAGTGGATTTTTCCTTTTTTTTTTCTCCTTATAAATGGGGTCTGGGGAAACCATAGAGGTAAAGTAATTTGAAATTGTCAACAAATAACACGCCATGGGTGATGTGGTCAGCATTGTGTCAGCCGTCTTTACTTCCGAGGACTTTACCTGGTACCCGTTTTAAGTTGGGTTGGCCTGGGAGCCTTAGTAATTTGGGACGTTTATTTTTATTGAACTCGGTGTGAGTTTGAACCCAAAACTTTCAGACCAACGGTGAGCATGTCTAGCTGCTGCATGACTGCAGCTCCAGTTCCTTTCAATGCTTTATTTTCTTGTTTGTTTAGCAGGTCTTCCCCCTTGTGATGCTGTCTTTATATTTGAAACAGAATGGCGGCCTTGGTGAAGATGTCAACATGGAGGAGGAGAGAGCTGATGTGTCACAGAATGACTCTCCTCTCAGCATTGACCAATCAGTTTCCAGCTGGTAAAAATTAATTATTGTGATATATTTTCTTCTTTGCAATCTTTGGCTGTAAACTCCTAGACTTTAGTCTTGAGTTTTGCATTTGCATCTATACAGATCTGACCTGTTTGTATACAGACATCCTTAATTAGTTGCCTTAGACCGTGCTTATTAGGGAAGCTGTGGGTTTATTTGTTGTTCGCCAGAATGGCACAGCGGAACTAACACTGGGAATGTTTGTAACAATCACTGACTCCATTATGGGGGAGGGAGAGATTTGACCCTTCCCATGTGGGTTCTGCATCTCCATTGTGGGGAATACAAGAATAGACCTACGGCCTCCCCAAGGAGTCATCTAACTGAGTACATCTGCCTTAGTGGCAATGAACTTATAACTGCACACACAAAAACCTAGTAAAATGAATGTACATGCCAGACTCAAGCCAAAGTCAAATGGACGAACAACTAAAACTTTCCGTCGGAGCTTACAGCCGGTGGACAAAGAAGCAGAAGATGTACTGCTTCCTAAAAAAATGTAAAAAATGACTGATTAGGGTGTTGCTGAAATCTGACATCTTGGATTAAATGGCCTAAATATTGCAGCCCAGCAGTAAACTTACAACATAACATGTGCGCTGCCCTTTTAGGGATGAAGAAGACTGCAGTTCATTTGAAACTCAGTAGTTAAGTTTTTTCGTGAACTTTTACATCATTCAACGCATGTTGCCGCTCATATGTTTTTACGTGTGATCCCCATCAAAACAGTTTTTAAATAGCTCAGACACCGACATAAATAAATCCGCATAAAGGGAAGTTTACAGATCGATCTTTTTTGCTGAATTTCCTTTGTGTGTGTGTGTGAATAATTTCTCACGTGGCCTCTTAGGGGTTGGAGTACTTTCCCCTTTGTTACTTTTCCCACGAGAAAGGCCGCCAACCCCCTCCCCCTAACGTCAATTTGTATGTTGTTCTGCTTTCCTAGTCTACAAAAATACATCTGTTAATGATCCAAAACTAATTGCAGCCATGAGACTATGGCTGCAGTTGACATATAGCAGAGAATGCATTTCACACTATATCAACACATGATCCTGTCAGTTGTTGATTATGGTCTGGGAATGCTTACAATCTCAAAGAGTCAGATGAACATACAGAATGCAGCTATGCGGGTCATTCTGGGTTGCACTAGAGACACCCCAGTGGTGTTTATGCGATGCATCCTTGGTTTACCAACTGTTGCAGGTAGGCACAAGGTGCTGCAGATGAAGTTATATCTTGGGGTCACTGCAAACACAGACCACCCCTTGCACAAAGCTCTGGGTGCAGTTAAGGGTCAGCTTCAGATAAGAGGGAGGTCATAGATGGCTCAGGCAAAAGATACGGACAGGTGTGCATCCTTGAGAACACTAGGCGAGGAGAGGAGTGGGTCAAAATTGCCACTGGCAGATGGATCACCGCAGTCTGGTGAGATTGATGCTGGGGAGGGGGGGGGGGGGGTGACGAGAGGTTCTGACAGATGCTCTAGGCTTAGAGGAAAGGCAAGACAGACATTTATTCAGAATACTTTGCTGTGATGTCTGTTCTTGAATCAAATCTAATCCATTCTGCTTCCCTATTTTTTTTTCTTGGAAAACAAGTGTGACCGGTATGGAACTGACCACATGGCTTATCAAATGCTAGTTTAGGTAGAAGGTATGTGAGAAGACGTGGAGGCATGTGCCACCTGAAAGGGGACATGATGATGCTACTGTAAAAATTGTATTTTTAAAGTCAATATGAGAGACCTCATTGCACCTAGTTTCATTCCAAATGGCTGGGTCTCTGCTGAAGGCTCACTGACTGCCAGCACCCCTGCACAAAGAATGAACTCCACATGTGGTCAATACCCTTTGAAAACATGCATTGGAACTAGTAAAAAAAAAAAAAATATGGCTGGGGAAGAATGAGGCACCTGGGTGTAACCCTGAGGGTCTGGCTGGCTTACTACACTCAGAGGAAAGGCAAGATGGACATATAACCAGATTGCGATCGGTAACATCAGTACTGGAACTCTGTGCTGCTGATGAAGATGAGGACGGAGAATGTCAGAGTGCTGTGATGTAATTTCTTGACTCAACTCCACTGGCCTAGCGATGATCACCAGGAATCTCTCAAATTGCACTTGTAAACTGAATAATGCAGCCGAGAAACGAGCCCATGACCTTCAGAGCGTGAGACAAGCAGCTTGGCTGCGGAGCCCATAAATATTGTTCTTTACTAGGTTTGTTTAAAGTTTATTTATGAAACCTAACTACTGTGTCTTTATTTTCTGTACCAGTTGTCAGCAAGGAGTCTCAGAATCACCCTCTTCAATGGAAGCAGACAGTCTACCAACATTTGAATCTCACTTACAGAGTCACACAGCCAATGCAGTGTCCTCTCCACAGAATATAACACCAGGAACAGATAGGAGGTGCGGATTTATGTCATGCAGGTTAGGTAGACTAGACGCTTTAGATTAGACTTGACTGTTTCAGTCTTCTCTATAAGTAGTGTGCCAGACCACATTACCCCAGTGACTGGTTACTTACCTGCTGACCTAGAGTTAGAATCGGAAGCTTCTTCTAATCTCTCACTGGCTGTAAACTCCAGCAGGAAGTTCTGGATGTTCATCCACTTCTGGACATTTTTCTTGTTCCAAAACTTGAGTTTTGCATGCGCATCTGTTTCACAGATGTGGCTTATATATATAAGGACTGCTGGTTTTTTGCTTCTCTGGCAGATGCACTCTTGTTTGCAGGAAACTACCCTAACTAGTTGCCTTTTGGGACGTGTTTATTAGTGGGTCTTTTCTTCTTTTTTTTTGCATTCATCAGTTATAAACTCCGGAGAAAAGTTCTCTTTGTTCGTCCACTCCTTGGCTGTGGTTCTGTTTCAGAACCTGAGTGTTGCTTGCGCATCTGTTTTAGAGATCTGACTTATTTGTTTGCAGACTGTTGGTTCCTTGCCTCTTAGTCAGATGCACTCTGACTGTGAAGAAAGCCCCCAATTAGTTGACTCTTGCGACATGCTTTTGGGCAGCCAGTGGGTCTATTGTTTTCCCTTCAATAGGGTTCCAGAACCCACGCGGGGAAGTGGGTCTATTTCCTCTTCCAAAATGGGGTCCTGGAACCCACATGGAGATGGCTCAGACTAGATTGTGAAAGTCTTCAGTGTGAGTAATGGTGCCCCACCACCATTACAGGTGAACTTTGTTACCTCAGTGGCTGGTCGCTTGCCTGCCAGCCTGAAAGTCATGGGTAGACTAGATTGTGAAAGTCTTCAGTGTGAGTAATGGTGCCCCACCACCATTACGGGTGAACTTTGTTACCTCAGTGGCTGGTCGCTTGCCTGCCAGCCTGAAAGTCATGGGTATGAACATACATCAAAACAGGATTTTGTGCATTCACCATGGCAGTCAGGCCTTGCCAGTCAAAAACGGATACAATGTGATGTTCTGAGAAGTAAAAGACAACCATTTTAATATTGACCACACGGTTCAATCGATATGGTACCATATATCTCTTGCACTAGTGATGTTATAACGGTCATTTACTTTTTCTTCCTTTGAACCTATTTTCTGTTGTACTTTTATTACTGAAATAAGTACTGTCTGAGAAAAACGACTAAAATAGTAACCAATAAATTACAAGCAATAGTGCCTGTGCAGAAAATAGAGTATAAAAGTGTATGATAGAATCACTAATGTAGAGCTTTGGGGGAGAACATAACAAGTTTCATTTGAACAAGAGGGGAATAAAAGACTCTGGCGTTGGATATAACACATGTTGAAACAACCTGAGTACAATATAACTAGCATGTCTTTGCACTAGAACCTGCAGTGGCTTAGAAATAAAGGCAGGCCAACAAATACATGGATGGGGAGCTAGAGAGTGATATGAGAGGTGCATGCCATAGCGAAGGACAGAACGACTTGGCGAGAGTTGGTTGAGGGTCCAAGCTCCACTTGGGGAAAGGGGGCAAAAAAAGAAGTACTGTCCGAAAGCACTGCTCTTCTGTCTCTGCAGCATGCTTTGTTCCAAATGTGTTAGTGTTACCACTTTTATAGAGTAAACAAGGCAGGTTGAGGGATAAATAAGGCTGTATTGTCTCTGAAAACTGCCCAGGCTTTGTGGTATAGACAGGCCATGGGCTATGATTCCTATGCCTGTCTATAGTACAGTACAGTATAACACTATCATCTGGAAAGGTGGGAGCTAATTGGGTACTGCCTACATTTGTGTAAGCTTATTGGCTTAAGTGTAAATAGTATTTTCTGCCTGTTAGACTTCCTCTTAGTCTTCACTGGCTGTACACTGCTGCAGGAAGTTATTCGTAGTCTTCACTGGCTGTACACTGCTGCAGGAAGTTAGTCTTAGTCTTCACTGGCTGTTCCACTGCTGCAGGAAGTTAGTCTTCCTCTTAGTCTTCACTGGCTGTACACTGCTGCAGGAAGTTAGTCTTCCTCTTAGTCTTCACTGGCTGTTCCACTGCTGCAGGAAGTTAGTCTTCCTCTTAGTCTTCACTGGCTGTACACTGCTGCAGGAAGTTAGTCTTCCTCTTAGTCTTCACTGGCTGTACACTGCTGCAGGAAGTTAGTCTTCCTCTTAGTCTTCACTGGCTGTTCCACTGCTGCAGGAAGTTCTGATTGTTGACCAGCACCTCCTTCTGGACTTAGATCTTATTCTGGGACTTGAATTTTGCTTATCCACGTTACAGGTTATTTGTATGTAGACTGTTGGTTCTTTTCCTCTTAGGCAGATGCACTTTCGAAGGAAACACTCCCTAATTAGTTGCACTGTACAGTATGCTTGTTATCAGTCTATTAATTTTTTCCCCAATTAAATGGGGCCCCAGAACCGACATGGGAATGCCTTGAATAAGTTGAGGACTGTTGGGAGATACAGGGTACTGTCTGCCCTTGTGTAAATTGACAACTGTCTGCACCTTGGAGGAGTGGATTTATGTCATGCAGGTTGCGTAGATTAGAAGCTTTAGTTCCCCAATTAGGTGTCAAGGACCCATTGCATTGCCTCCTCTCCCTCTCTTTACAAGCATGTCATAGCAGGCGACTAGTTATGGGTGCTTCCTTCAGATCTTTAAAACATGTGCGCACAGAATTGAAGTGCTGAAATAACACCAGATTCAAAGCTTTATATTCTTTGTGTGAGAAATAATTACTGACACACGTACTGTCTCCCTGTGTCTGTCTGTCTACACTTTGGGGAGATGAAGATACTGGAGATACCTGGGCATAAAGTTGTTTTTTCTGTGATAACCCTTAAAAGGGTAATAGTCATATTGTGTGCAATTTACATCTAGATTGTGATTCTGTGCTTAAGGACCACCATAAACGATTTCAGCAGATCCCTAACTAATTGCTTTTAACATGTTGGGGAGTAGTGGTGATGTCCCTTTTTTTAACCAAAGAGATGGCTCAGGAACACATACTGGAATGAAGTTTTTGTTGCAGAGAATAAGGGTCGGGTCAATGTGCTAAAGCAGCAATTCTCCACCTGTAGGTCGCAAATCCTTCGGGGGTCAAATGACCCTTTCTCAGGGCTCGCCTATGACCATTGGAAAACACATATTCACTTAATTTATGAAATAACAATGAAAATTATTTATGTTTGTGGGTCACCACAGCACGAGGGACTGTATTAAATGCGCCACATTAGAACGGCTGAGAGCTACTGTGCTAGAATATGGTTACAGGAGAGCAACATGTTAAAATTCTTTACAACGGGGCCTGATATTATTTTCTGTACACTGATCCTTTGTTCTTAATCACTTATTAACATGTTGAATATATTTCTTTGATATTGTTGTTTATTTCAGAGGTCTGAAACAAAGTCCGGTGTCAGGTCGACTGTTCTGTCATTGCTCGGCATCCTGGCGAGGAATGTATGGATTAGACATTGGATATATTACAGATTACTATTGAGTTAAACAAATTCTAGATTAGAATTGTCTGTCAGGTGCTGTTGAATTAAATGATGTTGTTTCGATGCTTCATATGCTTTTGTGCAGGATTCTACCAGTTGTGATTTATTTTCATGTCAGCAGATTGACAGGGAAAAGTACTTTACTTACTTACTTTTACTTTTTCCTTCCACGTATGCCGCTAAGCGTTGTGGGGAGATGCAAGTTCCTGTCATAAGCAAGGCGGGCAGCATCTGATGTTCTGAGGCCATGCTTTTGGCAGGGTTCGGAGACCCCGTCAATCCACAGTTTCCTTGGTCTTCCTCTTGCCTTATATCCTGAGCTTCTTTGGTTGAAAATTTGTGATGTTATTTGATCATTTTTCATCCTGGTTAGATGTCCAAACCATTTCATTCTTTGATGTTCTATGTAGTCTAAACATGGTGTAGTTTTGACAGTGTTTCTAATGTCTATATTCTTTATCCTGTCTAGTCTGGTCTTATTCGCTGCTTTTCTTAGACATTTCATTTCACAGACTTCTATTTTTCTTTCATGGGTCTTGTTGATTGTCCATGTCTGGCACTGGTAGCAGAGTGTTGGAATGAAGATGGTGTTTATCAATTGTCTTTTGGTCTTCATGGTTATATCTGGATGTTTAAGCAGAGGTGATAGTTGGTATGTGACAGCATTTGCTTTCTGTATTCTTGTTAGGGAAAAGTACACCCGTTGTTATTGCTGTTGTTATGAAATGTTAGACCTTTACATATTCTAGGCCATGGAATTTGAGTTGTAGTACCCAAACATTGCACGGACTGCAGCTGGGAAGCTCGAGAGAGATAAAAAGACATGCCTAAATACAGTCTAACATTTCTACCAAAGTCTTAATAATTTTAATTAGTGGAAAACAGACTGTTTTGATGAAGCTAGGTTGGCCCCAGTTGTACTTCTTTTGGCTTTAGTAATCAGCCAAGCAATACAATTGTATAATCTGTTTCTGATTTCATTGTATAAATTTATAATGGGACAACATTGCTTTCAATTATGTTTGTTGTTGAGTTTTGTTAGGTTGATGTGTGTCTCAGTGTTGGAAACAATGGTCTCTAGAAAGCTGACAAGTTATCAATGCATTCACTGATGTTTATGTATTTATTTGCTGTAACTATGCACTCACATTCTGGTTGGTTTTAATTGTCAGAAACCCCCGTGTGGGTTCCGGGGCCCTATTGTGGGGGAAAACAAGAATAGACCCACTGCCTCCCCAAAAGCATGTCATAAGAGTCGACTAACTGGGGAGCTTCCTTTGAAGTCGGAGTGCATCTGCCTGAGAGGCAAGGAACCAGCAGTCTGCATTCAATTGAATCAGATCTGTAAAACTGATGCACACTCAGGTTCTGGAGCATGACTGCAGTCCAGAAGTGGACGAACAACCAGAACTTTACGCCAGAGTGTACAGCTGGTGAACACAAAGAAGAAGAAGAATTGTCAGAAAGTGAGCAACAGATCGCATATCGGGGGATTGGGGGGGGGGGGGGTTAGCACAGTCGATATGAGACTAGCTTACAAATACAGCTGCGACTCGTTGCAGCCCATGGCCTGTGTTTGAATCTGGGCGGCTCCCGGGGTTCGCCCAGCCTCTAGGTGATGGGTACCAGGGTTAACACTCTGGAGTAAAGGGAGGAATGAAGCTGTGAGATATGCGCGGGCAGCGACACAGGCAGACAGTTTCTTATCAGCTGTCTGAACTAGTGGTAGAGCACTTATGGTTTATAACAGTGTGCAGTGACGCTGGTTCACATCTCCCAACTTTACCTTTAGATCTCATATCAAATACCACTTTTTTATTGTAACAAATATAAAGTTAAAAAATAAATTTATATATGTATAAAGCTATTTGATATTTTCACTTCACTGGTGTATTGATGTTAATTCTAGGAAGATATATTCTAATCTGTTGTTGAATATAAAAGTTAATTATGATTTACAGACCTGAAAAAAAAAATATCAGGCCAGATTTTGGTTTGACATTGAAATTGTATTATATGCCAGGTTGACCATCAGTTCTTTACTGAAAAATACAACAGATATAAACAAGAATGCCAGAATCAATTGACTATCTCTGACTAGTTGAATCTCTGACATGTATGTGACTACTGGAAATATAGCCCCCCACACGCAGAAAAGACTGAATGGCAAGGGCCATAACTCTAAGAAATATTACATAAAACTGGACCCATGCAGTGGGTCTAATCTTAGTTTCTCCTAAAACAGGGCCTCAGAACCTGGATGGGGAGTTAGGGAGCAGTGGGTCTATTCTTGTTTCCTTCCAAAATGGAATCGCAGAACCCACATGGTGAATTTTTTAACACAATCTGTCCAGAAAAACCGAACCTCCCCGTATGGGTTATGGGACCCCATTGTGGACCTGCTGTCTGCCCAGCAAGCATGTTGTAAGAATTGACTAATTGGGAGCTTCCTGTGAAGTCGGAGTGCATCTGTCCGAGCACCAAAGAGCAGCCAACTGCACACAAATAAGCCAGTAAAATGGGTGCATACGCAAAACTCAGACCTGACACACAGCCCGAAAGAACAGCCATGACTTTTTGCTGCAACTTACATCTGGTGAACAAAGAAAAGGAAAAACTGACCCCAGTATTTGGGGAGCATGAAATTGTTTATCGCGTTCACTAACCTCTTATCCACAACCGCACAACTATCACAAACCTGTTTTTAAAATAGAATCTCTTCTTATGACATAATTTTTGTGTAAATGTCATTGATTTTTGGTTTGTACATTTTAATTTGGTCATATCTGATGTTCAGTTATTTTTTAAAAATATATTTGTTATTTAACTGCGTTTGATGTTCTGTGTACTTTTATATTTTACATTCTTCAGCATTCTGTGCACGCAAGGTTCATTACTGCAGATATCTGCCGCCTCCAGTAATTTCTGTGACTGGCTTTATCTTTCTAATTTGTGTCTCCCAGTGATTGTCACCCTGTTATCTCTCTGCCATCTCATATATGTTATTATGTGAGTGACTGCTTATATTCGTTTTCATCATCTGAATGGTGTAAATGCATCAAGCCTGTTTACAGTATCCCTTTGATATTTGTGCTTTTCAGCCGACATATCTGACTTCTTTAGGCATTTGTTGACTGGGTTAGCTTTCTGGGACATTTGTAGCCTCATGTGTGTGATGACTTTGTCTTACCTGTGATCCACAAGGGTTGTCCCTGGAGGACCTGTCTAGGGCAGTTTTATGCAGATTGATCAGCTCTCAAGAAAAGGCAGGAACAGAGCATGGGCATTCGCTGCTATCCAAGGTCATTTTATGAATGCAGAGCTGATAAATGGAGCTCTTGTACTGGGCTCGCCCAAGGAATCGTCACGTCCTGCACATGACTGCTTAACTGAGTTGAGTTGATTCAAGAACCGACATCACAGCACTCAGGGCATTCCCATAAAAGCTCTGTCCCCATCTTCAGCAGCCAGTGAAGAGTTCTGATACTAATGGTGCCAGTAGCATTCTGATTAAACATCCGTCTTGCCTTTCCTCTGAGCCTTGAGCATCTGCCAGACTTTTGATCCATCTGCTCCCCCGAACTGTACACACTCTCCCACAAGGCACTAACTACGTCTGCCTAATCATGCATCAGTACTCCACCAGGTTGTTGACTGCTTAACTTCACATTCCTGTTGGGACTGCACCCTTTAGGGATCCTTATGAAGCAGTCTGCAGATGTGAGGCTTCGATTCCCTGCACAAATGGGCATCATGGTTTTCTCCGCTTGTTAGACTTCTATCCTTGACAATGGCAACTGTCACATAAATGCCCTCGTCACTTTTTACGGCATTTTTGTGAAGCATGCATCGGAAATGACTTCCCTGTGTGGTCCTTGCTCTCCGACGAATGTGGCCAGTGGTAGCAGACTTCTGTACTGTTTGTAACATTGAGTAGGATCTTTGTGCGAAGGATATCTGAACCTTTAAGGTCGTTGTGATGTGTATAAGAATTAATAAAGTAACAGAAAGTATAGGAATAATGTGTAAAAGGAGATACCAACACGCTCTCTGCTGGTTTTACTGATCCTTGTGCAAGACTTCTGCCACACGTCCTCATCATTTGCTACGAAAAAGGCAAGTATCGGCCTGAGCTGGCAGATCTTGGATTTGGTAGGTCCTAGAAATCCTCTGGCAGTTGTCAGCCACCGCCTGTGCAATTCTGATAACATAGAAAACTCATCAGATTCTCTTGCACATGGATGGACTGACGAGTGCCGGAAGATTTCTGGACATACTAAACATTCCTGCATAGAAAGATGACATTTTTTTTTTTTAAACGGTGCCCATAGCTGACGGCATTACAGGTAACTGTCTTAATCGTGTTGACAAGAAGTTTTTCCTGCACATTAACAACCAGATCTGCAATAAAGGTGTTGTTCCGTTGGCCCCCTTCTCCCCCCCCCCCCCCCCCCCCCCCCATTTTAATGCATATTTTGTTCCTCTCTGATCTTCTTTTCTCATGTGTCAAATTTGGCATCATCTTCTCGGTCTTATACCAGTTATTACAAGTGGTTCTCCAGACATCAACTTTTTTTTCACCTCTCTTGAATGATACCATTTCTTCTTCCCCTTTCGTCTTCGCGTTCACCAGCTGTAAACTCTGGTGGGAAGTTCTGGTTGTTCTTCAAATTCTAACTGCAGTGCTGTTTCAGAACCTGAGTGTTGCGTATGCATCCGTTTCACAGATCTGACACATGTGTGTGCATACTGTTGGTTTCTTGCTTCTCAGGCAGATGCACTCCGACTTTGAAGGAAGCTCCCAATAGTCAACTCTTACGACATGCTTTTTGTAAGGCAGTGGGTCTATTCTTGTTTTCCCTTTAATAGGGCCCCGGAACCCACACATGGGATACCATTTGATTTTCAACATATTCATCAGTCATTTGTTTTCAGATGCATTAAGCTTTCGTTCCATGTCTTTGGTTGTTCTGAAACTTTCACTTGTAAATTTTAACCGGGGGGGGGGGGGGGGGGGGGGGGGGGGGTTTGGAGTTAAAGGCAAGTAGTGGTTTGCTATAACACGACCGGCTCCAGCTGGAGACGGTCGTGGCTATATCTTCTGGGGTATGCATTTTATGTTTTTGTAGTTTACAGCTAAGCTTCAGCTTCGCTATCCTTTTGACCTAACAGGTCAGTTTCATTACATCCTCAAGTTAATCGAGTTTTACGACAGGCATGTTAAGGAAACAGTTGGTCTACATCCCCCCTCCCCCTCAAATGGGACACCTAAACCCACACCAGGAGGACAGCAATATAAAAAGGCAAAATAACATCAAGAGATAGAAGAACAACAGTCTGAGAGAGTACATTCAGAGCTAGAGACAGTGTTGGAGATCTTTTACAGCCAACTTTCACTGTGGAGAGGGCACATGATTAACTGTTGACGGTTTGAAAAACGGATCAACATTATGGCACAAGGCTACTATATAACCCAGAAGTGCTCAGCGCAGTGCACGAACTTCATAGCACCGGGGAGGATCCTGAACTACTTTAGGCATATATTTATCTTTTCTTTGTCTTCTTTGCGTTCATCAGCTGTAAACTTTAGTGGAAAAATTTTTAACTTTAAATTGTTGCCAGGGCAGCGGTATTAGGCTACTCTTTTCAATTTCCAACTGTCAAGGATTTTTTACGTGCGCAACAATACCCGCGGCATATACAATACGTTTCTCGGGGTGAGGTTCGATCGCAGCTTGTCATTCAGGGAACACGTTGACCATGTGATAACAAAAGCACGCAAAGGTCTATCTGCAATGAGGATTATGGCTGCTTCCAATATTGAGCAAAGACTACTAATACTTCTATTATACGGTCTGGTCCTTTCCCCTCATTGAATACGCTCTGGCCATCCTCACTGTCAGTGCTACCCAGATTGAACGACTCGAAAAGGTGCAAAATGAAGCCATGCGCATTATTTTGGGATGTACAAGAGACACATCCTGTGGAGCATTGAGGTATCTACTTGACTTTCAAAGGATCAGGATTTGGAGGGCTCGGGCATATCTCAAAATATGTGCTGATAAGAAACACCCACTGCATCAAGCGCTTTTTAGTGAAAAGGGCGACAGACTGAAGAGGGGGAAATCGTGGCTAGGTCGGGCAGAAGATGTTATTAGGCAAATATGCAGCCTAACCGACATCATACCTGGTGCAGAATGGATACCTGTGCCGCCGGCGTTTATTTGTACATTTTCCTGTATTGTCACACTCAACAGGCGATGTAGAGAAAAGAATCCTGTTGCTGTTAATGCAGAGGTCAACGCTCTCATCGGTGAAAATTCAGACGAAGCAGATGCAATAATCTATACAGACGGATCCGTTATACGCCAAAGAAGAAGCGCATGGGCATTTGCAGCACGCTCAGCGGGCAGAACAGTCAAAGAAGCCAACGGCGCCTTCTCCATGACAACCAGCAGCATGACGATGGAGGTGTTGGCAGTGACGCAAGCGTTTGCCTGGCTTGAAACACAAAAATACACCCGTGTATGTATGTATACTCAGTGATTCAATGAGTATGATCCGGAGGGTTCAGGCAGGTTCAGTGCGAAGACAATGGCTTGAATCATTACAGAAGTCCACTGTGCGTGGAGTCACCTTTATTTTTGTTCCGGGACACGCAGGCGTCGATGGAAATGAAAGAGCTGACAGGTTGGCTGGATCCGCTATCACTACCGACGGTCAGCCTAGGGATCATGCTGATATTATCAATGCCCTCAGAGAAATGGGAAGGCTAGAGGACTTTGGTGGCAGTGAATCCACATCACTCGCCAGAATGGCAGACTTGGGAATTAAGATCGGCGCAGCAAAAAACGAGACGCACACCAGACGACTTGTTAATCAACATAGAACTGGTACTATTAGCCATCGGACGTTGGGGTTCATACTGAGGGGAGGATCTGAGCACCTATGGACATGTTCGGAGTGCAATGAGGATAACCCAACTAACTAACTAAAACGGCAATTGATATCTGCTAACCAAACTTGTGGTTTCGCATTTTACAGTAGTACAAAATTTAAAAAAAATTACGATTGAAAGCAAGGATTTTCAACAGGTACCAATTTAACAACATCATAACACATAATAAATTATATAATGTTAATTAAATTAATTTAGTTCGAAACTTTTATTGTTTCTAACTCCACCTTGATCCGGTACTCCGTGTAAAGCCGAACGCACACCCCATTTGAATTCCTTTCCGGTGCTTTCTGCGACCTGCAAACATGCCTGTAAGTTTTACCTCTACTACAACTGCAAGTTTTCTTAAATTCAAATGTTTCTGTGTGAAATTCCCATAACAGATTAGTGCTGTATTAGGGATGTATTTTATTTTGAATTTGTTTTAGTGAAAATCTTGGAAGTGTAATTTTTATTAATAAATAATGTTGCGCAGATTTGGATTATATCAACATTACTTGTTATCGATAGCAGATGTGGATGGTTTTTTTTACCCACTCACATGTAGAATTTTCTTACAGTATTGTTGTGAAATATTCTTATAAAGTTGCTCTATACTATGGAAATTGCCTGTAGGAGATTGCGACAGAACAGTAGTTGTTCTGAAATGGAATCGGTCGACGCTTGTTTAGTCTTTGGTCTGAATTTTGGTTGGTAACCGTGAAATTATTAAATATTATAATTATGTTACCTGGCACACGGAGTCATGGTTTGTTGGTCTCACTAAAACATAAAATAATTAAATATTTATTTGGGTTAGGGTTTTGCTGAAATCAGATGTGTTGGGCCTAAATGCGCAGATATCATAGTAGGTACTTAAGTCAAATTTTTAAAATGCTCTCAACACCAATAAAATTAAAACCAGCACAGTTAGATAGCTGTAAACAATCTCTTTCCAACGGTACCTCATTTAGCCTTGTATGATTATGTCATTTCTGAGCTGAGATATGTAGGTTTTTATGGAGATGAGATGTAAAAAACAGCTGCTAAAACTTGTCTGAGAAACAAGAAGTTTTCTCTGTGTAACCAAAATGCGCAACTTTCGTTTTGGCTTTGTTTTCATTGGACAAGATGGCAGACAATTTTTCTCAGACACAGCGACATAATAGCGATTGCCTTAAAAAAGTCACTGTAAATCTAAATAGCCACGGACAAGAAAGAAATGTTATACACAAATGTAAAATTGGATGGAGAATTCAATTATAACTAGCATTACCATGTCTGGTAACAGTTAAAGCCTAAAGCCAACTTTGAATACTTATCGCTATTTTCAAACTGATGTAATTAATCGGGTTCGTTCCCGCCGTTTTCAGCTGTTTATAGCTGGTGAAAATCACCAATCGCAAAATTTCATGAGAGATTAGGACCCATCCCGAAACCCTAGCCGACATTTCTCAAACAAGTTTCGAAGTTTCCATGGTAATGAAAATTGCCAAAAAGACCGCAAATTGTCGAAACTGTAGTTGCTAATCATAGCCTAGCTGTAAACACAGTGTCAACCGCCCATTTCATTGAGAACACTAACAGAAAATTGCTTTTATTTAATAATATATTAATGAACTTTTTGCCAAACACTGAAGGTAATATGTATAATATATAATCCTTTCTTAAAAATAAGTAAATTATAAAAACCATTGATTGACATGCTTTTTACTAGTTGTTTGGCTAGTTCCATTTTGAAGTTGTCTTTACCCATTGCCCATAAACAGGCATGTCGTAAGAGGCAGCTAGTTTCAAGTGGATTTTTTCTACGTGAGAGGCAGAGAACCAAATCTGCATACAGATAAGCCACCAGTTCTTGGTTATCTTGCGAATAATGGTCCCAAATTATCGAGGCAGAAAATATACCCTAACAGAGCCTCATTCACGTGTCAGTTGCGCACCTCCGGGGACTAAACCGCCACCACCAAATTGACAACTTTCGGGGATTATACCGCCACTACTGAGAGCATCCCTGCTCATGTAGCGTGGATTGAGGCTAAACTAGATAGCTAGGACTCACGAGCAAATAAAATAAGGAAGATGCAGTAGCTGCTGCTTGTGAGTCCCAACCATTCAATTTAGCCCCCCCCCCCCCCTCCCCCTGCGCAGCTGACCGGGGAAAGCTCTCAGGGGTTTGTTGCGTTTTGCGACAGCATCGCCAGAAATTTATCCCATTTGTGCCGTGTTCTGTTGCGCGTTTCGCGACACAATTTTTTGAGGCTGTCGAAAAATGTAGCCGTTATTTGGGGAATAGCCTTAAATGCATCCCCTGCTGCTTGTTTTAACCCATAATCGTAACCCGTACAAGTGCTGATAACTAGGCCATCCGTTGATCTTACCTTTAAATGACAGTGACGGTTTGATGGCATCAGCCAAGCCTTCCAAAACCTTCTTGTCTCATTTAAATTTATTCACTGCCAGTAATGAACTGGTTTTTTTCTTTCTTGTGGAAAACTGTCTATACATCTCACCTGAACTTTTGCGATGATTCTCTTTTATCTTCTACTGGCTCGCCTCATCGCACGCTCGCTGCCAACTCACAAAACCGACATCACACGACGAGCAGAAAAAATGGACGACTGGGAAACAACACGATACTGTTCCAGTACTTTAATCTTCCACTCGCGGCTTACACAGCCGGCACATGAACTTGACAACTGTCCAGGCACACATTATAATGCAAGAATCAATTATTACCTTCAAGCAGAAATCCCAATCGATTTACACTAACATCGTAAACGAAACACAACAGCTGTCCTGACAGATACACTCAGACGACCGGCAGACATATTACTGGCCAGCTTTCTTCGCCAAGTTGGACTGGAACAAATTCACTCAAAAACATCTGCTGAATTCACACATCATCCACCGCTGTCCATGCACACTGTTCCTGGGTCCAAAACGAGACTGCCCACAAACCTTTTCCTCGTTATTATATAGCCCTCTGATCTATCCTATTCTAGAATATTCTGGATTCATTCTCACGAATTTCCCACTGTTGAAAGTCGTGTCTGGCCCGTGATAATTCACATTTCACACAGATCCTGTGAACAATCATGTTTCACATAAAACCTGACTTTCAGATGTCTCTCATGAAACTCAAGACATAAATCTCGTGTTCTCAACCAGTCAAAACATTTGTCTTACATCTATTACTGACGTCATCTATCGGGCATAAATTAATGAGGAGAAAATGACTCACTACAACTTTCCTGCGGTGATTTGTTAAAAGTTAGTATCATTTATAGGACAATGCAGAACCAACCCCATCATGTTTTGGCTAAAAAGATTTTTCGAAGCAAATTTTACAGTTTTCTGAACGCTCAGCTCTCGGTACCACGATCAAAACTATTGCAAGGCCTTCTGCTGCCAAAACGTCTACAGCTGGGATTGAACCCGGCAATACAAAGCGGGATTGTAACACATAAGTTACAGACTGACTGCAGTGATGTGATATACTTGAAGAAGAAGTGTGGATAAGATTACTGTGAAGACTGACAAGCCATGGATCAGGCTGAATTCTGGATAAGAACCTAGAGCAGGACTATTCAACTTGCGGCTCGCGCGCCAAATCTGGCCCGTGAAGGCGTAGCAAGTAGCCCGCGGATCATTGCCAGTTGTACTATATTATTGAGCTGTTTTATGCTGGGGCATGAGACTTTGGTCCGTGGCGATACGATACCTATTTTTTAAATTTTGGCACTTGAGCAAATTTAGCTGAATAGCCCTGACCAACGCCTTCTCTAATAAATAGAGAAGGCTGTGCCCTGACCTAGAGAATCTGCAGCCATGACAAGACTGCAAAGAACAGCAAGACAAAAGCACAATACAGGAAACAAACAAGGATAATTAACTAACACAGAACTGGTGTCATCAGCCACTACATGCTGCAGTATTTACTAAGGAGCTGACCCAAGCACTTTTGGACTAAATGGTTCATTGTACTGTGATGATAGTTTACTGAGCAACAGTATTTGAATATGGACACATGGAATAATAAATACAAGTAGTCACTGGTGTAGAAAGAGTTAACTTGATAAATGTTACAGAAGTATATAGTGATGGTATGTTGCCTGGTACGCCATTAATGAACTGAAGCATTGATTACATTTTTTAATATCAGTATTGGTTCTTGAGAGACATGCAGATATGTCTAAGATATTGCATATAATAGTTGGTACTTATGTAACATGGTTAAGACCTGCAGAAAGGCCAAAGCCACATTATGACAAACTGGACCTAAAAGATACAACATTGACACAGACGCTTGGAAGAGATCAGCTGCAGACCATAGACAGGCCAGGGAAAGACAAACTATTGTGGTTTGAAACAGCAAGCTATAGAGAGGGAGACGACTTCGGCATCAAACTTTACAGTCACAACAGATGCTGTTCCCAAATCTTGTGGCATAATTATTCCATGGTGCCCAGGGACTGGTGGTTGCCTATTATGTATGTATAACATCGAATTTCGGTAAAGTCGACATGATCAGCTTAGTCCTAGCAATTTTCTCTATTGTGTGTGTTGTCTGGATAAGTAGAAGTCCTGATAAGTAGAATTTTCTTAGCTCACTGCGACTTGCTACTTATCCAGACTCAACTGTATTTAAAAACATTTCACATTAAAATCTTGTTAACGTTCATTCAGCTTGCAAAGGATTTACTCCACCCTTCCTTGGAAGAAGAGAAGAGGAAGTGCAAACTTAAACGCTTAGTGCAGAGCCCAAATAGCTACTTCATGGATGTCAAATGTCCAGGTATGCATTGAATTTATTTTTTGATCCAGTATTTGTATGCCATTCCTTCATCATTAGTTCTGTGTGCTGGTGGCTTTCTGACAGCATAGTCAAGCTGTCTTTTAGTGCATTGGAAAATGTGGTTATATGTAGATGACCAGTAGAACTGGTCAGCTTTACTGTGTGTCATGAAGGTTACTGCTAGAAAACATTTATTAGCATATGACACAAATGGTTACATGCATGAGATCACTTAGCTTCATGATAAGGCTTGTCACACAATTTCCACACATTCTTAAACAGTAGAGGCTCTATTTCATGTCTCACAGGTCTGAGATACTGGCCAGAGAGTAAAATTTCACCTCCTATCACTGTTCTCTTACAGATGACCAGTCTTGCTGTGTTTGTTAATTTGCTAGTATTTTTTTAAATAACTTTGTGCATTCATTCCCCTTTAATTGTTCGTGATGATCTGTTTCTGTCTCAATGTTTTGTCATCTTTGTGTTTAGATTTTATAATGTTGATGAAGCTGTTGTCATCCCTTATTCAATTTAAAAAAAAACAAGTTTTATGGTTTAGTTATTTGATCTTGTTTCTCTTTACAAAATATTTTCATAATCTGTCTGTATTTGTCACAGTCTTGTCTTCTTTGTGCCTATTTTTCTGTTCCCTGTAATAGGGCTGTGGAACCCACTCTGATAGTATTTCTCAATCGTCTCATTTCACAGATATTCTGACATAATACAGCTTTTAATAATGGCCAGAGCAAACTCTTCTTACCATCAAGTGCTGTCCAGCTGGCTGATAGTTGCTTTAATTGTGCAACTAAACAATTTCCCATGTTGCATAAAATGGAATAAATTCGAGAAGATTGAAGTAGTAGTAAATGTCTAGGCAACCAATTATAAGACACACAAAAATGGCGCTATATTGGAAACATTCTAAAAAGATGCGAACAGAGAATGGGAAATAAGGGGAAACAAGGATGTCTGGTATTAACCTTAAAAGTAGAAGAATGGATTCCATCCCTGATTTAAAAGGAATTTCACAGGAATTGAGAAATAGACTGCACCTCGTGTGACATTAGTGGCACAGCAGGACAGTAAAGGAATGAATACAATTGTAATCATGTCATTTATTAGGAAATGGTTTTATTTCATCAGGTGCTTACTGGCTGTTGGCGTCTAGCTTAGTGTTGTGAACATACTTCATTATTCTAGCATCCTGTTTTGTTTGACAGCAAACAGCATTTGTATTAATTCCAGCAGTGACAGAAAGCACCAATGTTTACTACGGAATGACGGTCTACTGAATGTAAAATAACAAACAGCTATTATGCTGGGGCTGGTTCTGCATGTCCTGTAAAAGATAACACAGCAAAAGTAAAGAATGCTTTTCCACTCCTTAAGGCACAGTGGGCATATATGTCTAGACCTAGATATTTTACAGATAGATCGGCACTTGGTGGGTGATGTGGTCAGTATCATGTCGGTCACTTTGACTACCTTAGGCTTTTACCCAGTATCGTTTTAGGCTCGTCAACTGAAGTCATTTAGGAAAAAAGGGCAGCACCATTTGGATTTGAACTTTAGATCCGCAACTACTATCTTTGGATTGTATTATTGAATTTGACATAACTTTTAATTGTTCAGCTTCACATGGGATCGTGAAAGAAAGTCATATTCTCCTGTTCTCTAACTTATCTTGGCCGTATCTTTAGGCATTGTCCCAAGGTGCACAGGCACAATTCCCTGAATACTAACAGCAGAATGTAACTGTTTAGGAGATAAATGTATTGTCTCAGACACTGCACAATGAACTGAGCCACAAATGCAACTGCTAAATTAAACATGGTAGTCATAATGGCACATGAAAATGTAATCCATATATTGGTGACAGTTTGGGAGGGTTTTAGCACTTTATTTATAATAAACACATGAGTTTGTGATTTATAGTTAACATAACAGCATTATTTGTGTGTGTAATAATAAGTTGATTAAACCGTATCAAAATATATATTGTAAAATTTCTTTGTACAGAGTAAATAGTTTTATCAATGTTTTGATGACATTTCCTATTTTCAGGATGCTACAAAATTACAACAGTGTTCTCGCATGCACAGACAGTAGTTTTGTGTGTGGGGTGTTCAACTGTTCTCTGCCAGCCAACTGGTGGCAAGTGCAGACTGACAGAAGGTGAGCAGTAGACAATTGTTTGACATTAGGTATATTAATTTTATACATTCTTGACTGCGGCAGATATTTACTCTGTCAGAGATATCAAAGTGAAGGTGAAAAAACCCCAGACTAAATAAAGTTTTTATACTGTGACCATTTTGGTAGGCCTAATTTCGTTAAATTTCCTGACCAGTTATATTGAAATGTAAGAGCATATTATGTTGAGAGAAATAACGGGGCAGATTTGTTTTCACATCAGTTATTCATCATGACTGAAACAGTTAAAAGTAGCTCTCAAGTGGATCAGGTATAAGGGGTAGCAGAAAATGTTTCGGTTAGAAAAAAAACCCAGAGGAGAATCAAATCAGTTCAGGGGTTGGTTATCTGACATGGCTTAGTCACTCATCAGAATGTATTGTTACAAAATATGAAACTCTTTAGCTACAGCAGTGACTTAAAAAAAGGGAACTGAAAGATTGTCATGGGAAAAAATGATAGACCTACTACCTCTCTAATGTTGTACAAGGCAAAAATAGGAGAGTGCATCTGCCTGAGGAATAATCAGCCTGCTAAAAACAAGCCAGATCTGTAAAACTGATGTTGTGAAACACTAGTGCAGAATTGGATGGATGGGCAACCTGATGTTCCCATTAGATAATGTGCTGTGACCTCCAGTGTACAGCATGTAATGATCAAAATTGCATGTGTTCTCTGGCTAGATTAGCTTGCTGAGATGTCAGAATCATCTGTGGGCTTTAACATCGCTATATTATATTCTTTAAGGCTAGTCCTGGTTATGTATTTATGGTTTGAGAATGGTGACTGTTATCCCGCACATTTTGGGGGTGTTACTTTCACTGATTTTGGGGGTCTCAGCATGGTGATGTGCTCAAGCTGTTTGCATTCTGCAGATGGTGGGTTTCGTCAGTGCTGGTTTGTGCAGTTTTTACAGAGGCCCCTGGGGTTCATCATCAGAGCTAAGGTGTCTATGCTTTATGCGAGACACTTATGTGAACGACCAGCCTTGTTGGATGAAGTAGAAATCTAGACTTGTATACCTTTCTTGAGATTATTGGACTTCTATATTGAGTAAATGTTTTTTTTGTTTCTTTCTAGGATGTTCTTTCAGAAAGAAGCAACACTAAAGAGAAAGAGCATGCATGAGATCTTTATGACCTCCAACTATGACATGAGAACTTGGTGATTGCAGCATGGTTTTATTCTTTTCCTGGATTCTCTTTAACACTTTACAGTAGATTGTGTGCCTAGGCATGCGGTAAACAAATTTAAACCATGCAGCGGATGGGGAGCCTTGCTGGCAGTCGCAGTTTCTGCAGTGATTAAACATGATTTTATCTTTCACTCAAGTGTATGGATGATCAGTTTTTTTTTAGGATTGTGAATTTGGCACATTGCATGTAGATTCTGTGAGGATTTTTATGAGAATATTGGCAGAATAAAACAGTCATGCTGTGAAATTGTATTTATGAATTGTTTCAGTAATTTTTGTGTTTGATCATTTGAATTGATGTGTGTGTTGGCTGAGTATATTGTGTAATAGCATTTCATTAGACATATGTTGTTAGAATAATTTCATCAGCAGTCGACGGGCAGTGTAATGCACAGGGGTAACAAACAGAACAGTATTCTGTGATAATAAAAAAATTCATTGATTGCCAAGTAAAAGAATGGATAAGCGAAGACCTGTTTGTGAGGATGATGGCAGTTGAGTATGATGTTGAATTTTATAAAAACTGACTGATCAGTCAGCTGTCTCCAAAGCACTTTGGATCAGAATTATTTATTTTGTCTGTGCTGCACAGGTGACAATACAACTTTAACTAGGTAAACAATATGGCAAACTACTTGTCTTTTACTGACAGGGCGCCATTGATAATTCACTGAATCGCCTTGCTTCCTGTGGCATGTTTTGGGGGAGCTAATGCAAATATTATAACTGTCTGGGGGCTAAGTAATACAGGTAACAGTTTGAAGCACTCATTTTTGAATAGTAAATTAAGGACCCTTTTCCACTCCTTTAGGCATATAGCACAAGACTTGTAATGTGGTCAGCATCGCATTGACTGCCATTACTTCCTGGGTACCCACTTAAGGCTGTGTATACATGTGAGCCCAAGTCAATTTTTTTTTTAAAGCGTCGAGCCGGGACAACTTCCACTCATTTTTTTTTAATAGGTATTAAAAATCCTAGGCTGTTTTTTGTTTTGGATTCTAAAGTCGCAGCTCCAGGTTGTTTTTACAGAAATATAGCTAAAGAGTCAATAGCAGGTGTGACGATTCCTGATGAGCCTGGTACTGAATCACCATTTAGTGTGGCTCTTTTATTATGGAAAAGAATGCTTGTGTTCTGTCTCTGCCTTCTCTTTAGAGCTGACCAGCCTTACTTGGCTTCTTTGAACTAGGAAGCAAAGATGATGACAGAAGTGTCACAGAAAGGCTAACCCAAGCAACATATATTCATTTTATTTGGCAATTCAATACAGCATCAGTTTATTTTAGAAAACAGAACATTTACATCTATTTGAAAATTCACCCACGGCTTCCAGTGCTAGGCTTGGACATTGAATACTAACCAGTGTAAAATTAACACCTATGAAATTAGATGCCTGTGTAAAACTGCCAGCATCCGAAGTTGAAAAGGGATATAAGGTAGACTGTAGGCATGCAGCAAATCTATTTAGAAACAAGATTAGTAGTTTAGACTTGTACCCCACCAGGACATCACACAAGCGATAAACACCAGATGACACAGTGCCACCGTGTGAATGAGGATCACTGGAGAGGCCCCAGAAACCGTGTTCAGCCATTAGACCATATTTATTGTCGGGCTATATTGTGGTCCCTGGCAAGAGCCAGTGTAAAGCTTCAAAATAGAGAAAAATTGCATCTCACAAGGAGATGACAGGATTTAGAGAAACAAGATCAGATGGTTTGGTCATTTAGAGAGTGCAGCCAGAACAACTACCATTGAGGAGTTGCACAGGAAAAGATCTGATGTGAAGGCAAGAGGCGGCCCTGGGAGAAGATGCATGACATTAAAGAGCTTCTACATCAACACGGAATGACAATAGTCAATCCTACCCATTAAGCGCTGGATCACAAATTGTTCCTGCCCACAACACCTAATGGCAAAAGTAAAATTAAGGATAATGAAAATTCAAAAATTAATTAAACTGATTTTGCTTGGCGTTTGGAAAATGTCTTTCTGTGGCCTGTCAAAAAGACGAGGGAAAATGAGATTACATAATCTTCACTTAGACGGTGCCATGTAATTGTTTGTCCGTGCATGCCAAAACAGCTGGGGGGGGGGGTGTTAAGGGTGTCGCCTAAAAAATAGACATGAATAACTCCAAGTCATTTGTCCATCCTCCCTCTAACCGAAATGATCACAAAATGGTTCTGGAATAATAGACACGTATGTTGTGACCGTCCGGCATGTACTCGACACCCTGATTCCAGCTTATTGGACACGCTTGAAATGAGGTTAGCTGAAAGCAATTTCAAACTGCCAATGGTTCGACTTATAAACAGCGTCGGTACAGTGGTATATCGACGAACGAACCAAATTCCTTTCCTGGTACAGTGGTATACCGGGTGCAGTCCTGGGAAATACAGGCGGTCGGCGTGATGCTGACCACAACACCCATCTTGTGCTGATTGGTCTATAAAATATAGGTCTAGTCATATATGCCCCCTTTTTTTTTTTTTTACAGTGGTTTGTCGACTAACGAACCAAATTCCTTTTCCACTATGTCTGACGCCAGGGCTTTTCAACTGGCTGATCATTGCCAGGTGTATTATTTCAATATTTCTATGCTTGGGGCTTCTGGCCCGCGACGATTCATTCATTCAGTAGCATGTCCCTCGCGGAACCTCGCTGCCATAACAACCCTCCGGAAAACCTTCCTATCCTGAGCAAGATGTCCTGCGTCTGATACACCCATCTGGAGATCATCTGCCACATTCTGCACCCATCTTCTCCTTGGCCTTCCTCTTCCTCTCTTCCCAGGCATATACCCCTACATTATTGTTCTCTCTAGACTTCCATGACGTTTCAAGTGACCAAAATATTTCAATTTTCTTTGTTTTATTGTCTTTACTAGCCAACCCTCTTCAATATTCAGCTCTTGAAGTATGGATGCATTTGTTCTTTTCTTTACCCAAGATATTCTTAGAACCTGTCTGTAACATGGCCCGCGACGATACTAATTTTTAATATTTTAACCCCCGAATACATTAAGTTAAAGAGCCTAGTCTTAAGGGAGATCAATCGTTGTCATAAGAATTGCCTGGTTACCCAATTTGCTGTGGTTTTTCAATATAAAGTTGAGTTGACTTGTTTAGCGGCTCTGGGATAAACCAAGTTTCAATCTTCAGTTTAGTACAACAGTTTCAAGTTTTGTCTTTCATCCGCTTGTGTCCTGGCAAGACAATTTTCTCCTTATCGACTTTCTTCTAGACAAACGTTTTCTCTGTAGGGGGCTGCGAGGTCTCTATGTATAGTGTCTGCCTCGGGTGCTAGAAGTTCCCTGTTCAATCCCCGAAAAGGGTTGGGATTTTTACACGTGGACTTTAACTTCTAGCAATTTCCCCAGGTGCTTTTGCACTATGCTGAGTTCCTCGGATTTGAGTAAGAAGAGGAACGGAGCTCTTATGGGGTACCGAAGATGGGATCCTAGCGCGCATGGAAGGTACAGTGAGGATAATCCGTCGATTAACTTGAACATTGTCGTCATCATCATGTAACAAGTCCTTTGCAGAACGTCGCTCTCATCACAGTCTGCCTGAAAGAAACTCGGTCTCTTGCCAGTTCTCCCGCCTCATGCACTTTCATACTCAAGGAGTCACTTATATCCTGTGCCCATCTTCGTGTCGGTCGGCCCTGTCCCTCCTTCCTGGTACCATGCAGTCTGCTAGAATTGTTTCCAATCCGTCGTGGCGCTTGATATGACCGAAATATTTCAGCTTCCGAGACAGGATGCTGTTTATTAGAATTCATTGTCGTAAATGCAATTCTGTCTGCCATTTACTTATTCAGATAAGAACTATTCTTTGGGTCCTTGCTGAATTCCCCTTATCAGATCCGCACAGTAATTAGAATGTCTTTCCACCTGAACACACATGCTCAAAGTAAGAATAAAGGTTGACCAAAAACACACGAAGAAGAAAATCTGAAGGAAGGGTCACATGTTACGATAAATGATGGTAAACTCGAGTAGAAAGTTCTGGTTGTGCCTCCACTTCTGGATCGTGGACTTTTTCCGCTTTACAGATTTTGGCTTATTTGTATGAAGACTGGGTTTCTATATGTACTCCAAAGGGAACCATCTTTTACGAAATGCTTGCATTTGACACAAACACTACTCATATGTACAAGTAAATCAAATTTTTAACCGTTCGGTTTTTGAGAAAGTTGGGGAAGGGGGGGGGGGGGGGGGGGGGGGGGGGTAAACGCTGTGTGGTCTAGACGCTTGACTGCGGATCGGAAGGTCTTGGGTTTTGTTTCTGACAAAAGCCAGATTTCCCTCCCAAAATGACCTTGGCTCCCATGTCGACTCAGTCTTGAGTGGGTACAAGGTAAAGTCCAGGGAGGTAAAGGCGGTCGGTTTGATGCTGACCACATCACCCACCAAGTTCCGATTGGTCTATAAAGATAGGCTAGCCTCATATATCCAATGCGCGTGGAAAAGGGTCCTTTACGTTTACTTATACATGTTTTGATTAAAACAGCAATATATATGTGTGTGTATATATATATATATATATATATATATATATATATATATATATATATATATATATATATATATATATATATATATCAAACCAGACGGGGTTTTTGAGCTGAAAGGCTATAGAATGATTCTCAGAATATCTTGGACAAAGAAGAGGAGAAATGATTACATCTTCAAAGATCTGAACATTAAGGGAGATTGGCTAATAAACAGCATCCTGTCTCGGAAGCCGAAATATTTTGGTCAAATCAAGCGCCACGACGGATTGGGAAAAAATTAAATAGCAGAAGGCATGGTACCAGGAAGGAGGGGCAGGGGCCGACCGACACGAATATGGCCACAGGATACAAGTGACACCTTGAGTATGAAAGTACATGAAGCTAGAAACC